TCACCCAGCAGGTGCATGTGGAGGAGTGGGGAATAAAACCTGGTCCTCCCAGATTAGAGTCCGCGCACTTAACCACTACACCAAACGGGCTCTCTACACCAAACAACTCCATTCCATCCTCTCTGTGTAAAAGGTAAAGGTTTCCCTTGCTCGAAAGCCAGTCAAATCTGACTCCAGGGATGCGGTGCTCATCTCTGTTTCCAAGGTTAAGAGCCAGCGCTATCTGAAGGCTTTTTCCGTGGTCATGTGGCTGGCGTGACTAAACGGTGAGGCACGCAGAACGCTGTTACCTTCCCACCGCGGTGGTACCTATTTATGTGTAGTGGTTAAGTGCGCGGACTCTAATCCGGGAGAACCGCGTTTGATTCCCCTCTCCTCCACTCGCACCTGCTGGATGACCTTGGGCAAGCCGTAGTTCTGATAAGAGCTGTCCTTGAAAAACAGCCTTTTCTGTCAAAGCTCTCTCAGCCCCACCGCCCTCACAGGGTGTCTGTTGTGGGGAGGGGAAGGGAACGGAGATTGAAAGCCGCTCTGAGACACCTTTGGGTAGTTCAGGAAGGGGTATAAATCCAATCTCTTCTTCTTCTTCTTCTTATCTACTTGCAATTTCCTTGCTTTCGAACTGCTAGGTTGGCAGGAGCTGGGGCCAGAGACGGGAGCTCACTCTATCATGTGGCACTCGGGTCTCAAACTGCTGAACTATTGACCTTCCGGTCTGCAGCTCAGCCTCTTAACCTCTGAGCCACCGCGGCCCCCATCCCCTGTATGACAGCCGTTCAAATACTTGAAAGAAGACATTGTGCATGTGATTCAGATGTGGCAATGGGGTCGGTGGTTGTTAACCTTTCCCCCAGCGTCATATTTCCCTCGCGCAAAAAAGCACACGCCCCTTCCAGGGTTCCTGTTTTCTCCACGAGGGAAAAGACACCGATACAGGACGAAGAGCAGCTTGTCAGGGAAGGGGGACGATTTGCATCAGGAAAACGGAGCGTGGGAGAAAATTAAGGCTGGGAAGGGGTTTGGCGCCCAGTGGCCAGCCGGAGTCCTCACTGCTGGGGAAGAGGAACCAGTTCTGTGCGCCGTAACTTACAAAGATGGCGAGCAGGATGGGGCAACGGATGATCCACCAGTAGCCCATGTGGTCGTTTCTCTCCCAGCATCTGGAAAAGGGATGTCGAGGTGTTGGCAGGTGAGACGAAGAAGAAGAAGAAGAAGAAAAAGAAGAAGAAGAAGAAGAAGATGGGAGAGGCCTTCCTGACTGCCCCATCAATCAAAAAAGCTTGCTTGGTGGGTACACGGGACGGGGCCCTTTCGGTAGCAGCCCCCCGATTACAGAACAGCCTCCCCAGGGAGGTGGGCCTGGCCCCCTCGCTTTCGGTCTTTAGGAGGCAGCTGAAGATGGCGTTATCGAGGACTGGGTTTGATGAAAGCCATCCTAAGTTGTGATTTTAAACGTTGGCTTTGTGTTCTGATAAACGGAAGCCCGTTTTCCTCTCCCCTCTTTTCTTTAAATCTAAGCTCGTCAATACATGGGTAACATCCCGAATCTTCACTCTGCAGCTCAGGAGTGGCTGGACTCTCAAAGAAGCATTGGGTTGTTGTTGTTTTTTTAGCAACAATAACATTATAATGAAAACAGTGACTCAAACGTGGGTACAAGCTTTTTGCCAGGTCAACTTACTCCTTGTTTTCATAGAGGTATCGCACAATCACCCAGGGGATGACAAACAGGATCGGTGCCCCTGCACAGAGTCAGAGAGAGATATCATTAACAAGTCACCCTTTTGCCATATCTGTTCCTTCGTGTCCTCTCTCATTTGTGTTGGAAAAATTGGCGAAATAGTTGAATATTCAGAGATTGCAGTGGATCTTTGCTTTGCCGGAGAGGAGGCATTTTCTTCTATGTAAATTTTTTTATTTCTAAGGGAAGGGTTCACAGGGAAATTTACAAAACAACAAAGACACCATGATTGTGAGTAAACAGACTTCAGTTTCTTGGGCTTTGTTTCCATTGGCTCTGTGCCAGGTTTCCTTCCCGGTCAGTCTAAACAATAGCACACGAGGTAGGCACACACGGACCCTATAATGACTTGAAGTTTAGACCTTGCAACACACATGTTTCCAACAATTTGGATCCCGGATAGCTGGCTTTCTGGCATTCTCTGCGGGCTCCCTGCAGAGCGGGCTGCGCTAGGTGGCAAATTGGCCTTTGGACGTACGGCTCGTCCGTGTTCCCAAAAGGTTGCAAGCTAGTTAACGATAATAGAGTGAGCGATTAAATATAGATTTAACCAGAAGATTGTTGGGTTGTTTTTTTAAAGCAAACTGGCCATAACCACAGATGAGTAAATCGCCGGCTTTATCTATCCTCGGGCAAGTGCACAAATTCTAAATGGATTCGAGGGGCGATCGATAATTAACTGCCTTGTACAGAGTCAGGACCATTGATCCAGCTAGGTCAATATTGTCTCCTCTGACTGGAAGCGGCTCTCCGGGGCCTCAAGGAGAGACGACTTTCCCCAACACCTTTAACTCGAGATCCACAGGGCCACCCTGAGAGCAGAGTTATACCCTTCTGGATCCACTGAAGTCAGTAGGAAAACAAGGGCAGAAGGCGTTTAGGACTGCCCAGTAATCCTGGGTCCTTCTGCCTACAAAGCAGGGGATCGGCCCCTAAGCCATGGGCTAGGGTTGCCACAACCTCCAGGTGGGGCCTGGAGATATCCCACCTCTCCAGGCTACGATCAGTTCCCCTGGAGAAAATGGCCGCTTTGGAAGGCGGACTTGGTCGCATTCTATCCTTCTGAAGTCCCTCCCACTCCCTAAACCCCGCCCCTTTGTAGGCTCCACCCCCTAATCTCCAGGAGTTTCCCAACAGATTATATAGAATATAATGGGAAGATCGTGCTGCCGCTGCGGGGTGACTCCAAAGAGAAGGGGTTTAAAGTTTAAACCCCTTCTCTCTTTGCTTCCCACACACACACCTTGGTAGGCCGGCTGGGGAAGCAAAAAAAGGATCGCTGTGACCAGGGCCAGGGCCTTTTCAGTGGCGGCTCCTCACTGGCGGAATGAGCTCCTGGAGGAGAACAGGGCCCTGTGGGACCTTGTACAGTTCTTCAGGGCCTGTAAGACGGAGCTCTTCCACCAGGCCTTCAACTAGGAGCCGCCCACCTCGACCACCAACTATTATATCGATATTTGTGGTTAGTGGACTGGCCCTGTATGGAGATCAGACCAAAATGCCATGGAAGGCCAGAAGACCACCAAGTCGGGATTTAGTATGTCACCTTTAGTATGCCACCTAAACTTACTGATGGATAATTGTTGCAAGCATTTTATATGTTACTGTATGATTGTTTTAACTGTTTTAAATGTTTTATGTTTACCGGCCATAGGTAAAGGTAAAGGTTCCCTTGCTCGAAAGCCAATCGAATTCGACTCTAGGGTTGCGGTGCTCATCTCCGTTTCAAAGCCGAAGAGCCAGCGCTGTCCGAAGACGTTTCCGTGGTCATGTGGCCGGCATGACTAAACACCAAGGCGCACGGAACGCTGTTCCCTTCCCACCGAAGTGGTACCTATTTATCTACTTGCCATTTCTTGCTTTCGAACTGCTAGGTTGGCAGGAGCTGGAACCAGAGATGGGAGCTCACTCCATCATGCGGCACCCGGGTCTCGAACTGCTGAACTACTGACCTTCCACAGCCTGCAGTTCAGTGTCTTAACCACTTGAGCCACCGCCATACCGGCCATACCGTGCCGCCTATGTGAGCCGCCCTGAGCCCGTCCACGGGGAGGGTGGGATATAAATATAATAAATAAATAAATAAGTATGTTGGACCCTGGCCATATAGGGCTTTGGGGTGATGAGCCCCTGACAGAACCACCAGCTGACGGTGCCCTGGAGGCTACAGCGGCTTTGCACCCGACACAGACTCACCCCATCCAAGAAGCAGGTATCCTGGGAAGTAGCTCTCTTCCGAGAAGGCTTTCAGCCCCAGCAGGTTGTGGAGGTAAAGGCCCTCCACGAGGAGCCAGCAGTAGTTTGCCCCGACACAGTAGTGACTCAGGGTCTGCGCCACCCGACAGCCCACAGTAGCCTGAAGATCCGGGGGAGAGAGAGAGAGGGAGAAGGAAGTGAATTCGGGCTCTCCGCCACTACCCCAGCTCTCTCGGTGGGACCACCTCTGCACCTCCCTGCCAAACCGCAATGGGATCTTTTCCCTCCCCCCCCCCGCCTGATACGGTGTGGTACCTGCTGCATCGGAGCGTGGGAAAGAGCTTCTTCGTTCCGCACGTTCTTGGAGAAGTGGAGCCAGAGAAGGCCGTCCCGGGAAAGGATGGAGACAGCGCGGAGCGCGAAAGAGAGGAAAAGGTTCATGTGGATGAAATTGCGGATGCACCGGAGTTTTCTGTGGGGGGTGGGCGACAAGGGGGGAAACGGGGATCATCTCTGTCCCAGGTCTGCATTGCAATCTATCCACGGTCCCATGCGGCTGATGCACCGCTTAATTTGAACCTAAAACATCCATGCACTAAGGCACTGGTTGCCAAAGTGGCCAATACCACCCCCTGGGGGGCCCTGGAACGATCCAGGTGGATGGTAGGAGTCTTGGGTGCAATTGTTGGGGGCAATTGGGGGGCGTTAAATAAAAATAATGGGGGCGGTGGAAGCATAAAGAAAGAAGAGTCCAGAACCTATCTAAAGCAGCCTTTTCCTGCCTTCTCCTGGTCTTCCCTGGGACCAGGGAGGGAGGAAGAGGTAGAAAGGGGTCCCCACAGCCAATCACAGCCATGCATTTGCAAATTGCATGTGCACCCTTGTAAGACTGGTGTTTCTGCTGGGCTATTGTGTGGTGGTGGCTGCTGGCCTCTAGCTTCAGGCCAACAACATCTTTCTTTACTATGTGCAAATTTGTCACTGTATCTTTTTGTCCACTTCTTGAAGGTAAAGGTAGATTTCCAGGGGGGGCGCTGATTAATTTTTTTTTCTGAAAAGGGGGCGGTGGGCCAAATAAGTTTGGGAACCTCTGCACTAGGGGTTGTTGAACAGCACCCCGCTGCACTGAAACACACGGTGTGGTTCACGCTTCGGCCCCATGGGCCCCAGCCTTTTGGAAGTGGGACCCAGTTCTAAATTTACCACGCTTTTCAGGGCTCGCTTGCAAAGTACCTCTGGTCTGTTGCTCCCCACTTTTCCTCATGGTCCAAGGCAGATTAATTCTTATATCATTTACCAAATTGTGCCTTGCAGCTAATAATCTAATCCGATGCCGGGGGTCCCCAAGTTGGTGGTGGTGTAAGGTTGCCCGCTCCAGGTTGAGAAATACCTGGATATTTTGGGGGTGGGGCCTGAGGAGGGCGGGGTTTGGGGAGGGGAGGGACTTCAATGGGGTTTAATGCCACATAGGGTCTACCTTCCAAAGTGACCATTTTCTCCAGGGGAACTGATCTCTGTTGCCTGGAGACTAGTTGTGACCCACAGGAGATCTCCAGCAGCATGGACTCTAATCTGGAAGAATGGGTTTCATTCTTCCACTCCTCCACATGCAGCTGCTGGTGTGACCTTGGGTCAGTTACAAGTTCTTTTGGAGCTGTTCTCTCAAGGGCAGTTCTTGAAAGAGCCCTCTCAGCCCCACCTACCTCACAGGGTGTCTGTTGTGGGGAGGGAAAGGGAAAGGAGATCGTAAGCCGCTCTGAGACTCCTTTGGGTAGTTAAGGGTGGGGTATAAATCCAATCTCTTCCTCCTCCTCCTCTTCTTCTTCTTCCTCTTCCTCTTCTTCTTCCTCCTTCTCCTCCTCTTCTTCCTCTTCTTCTTCTTCTTCTTCTTCCTCCTCCTCTTCTTCCTCTTCCTCTTCTTCTTCTTCATGGCATCCATGCACCTCCTCCCACAACCGAAAATTCAGGAATCAGTTAACCCCGAACAAGTTTATACTTGATTTCTTAAATGCACCTTGGCGCCATTCTGCATGCTTCGCAAAATAAAAAGGGAAGCTGGCCGTCAAGGCTCCCAGAACCTCCTGTCCCAGCTCTTGTTGCTCTTCTTTTTCCCTCCTGGCCTCATGATCCACCAGCAAGAAACTCACAGCCTGCTTTAGGGTCCCGAGCCACGGTTTGAGAACCTCGGCTTTCATCATCGGCAGGGGAACTATTGCTTTACTCAGCATTGCATTAGCGAAAAGTGGAAGAAATAGCCCTGCTGGGAGTCTCTCTTGGCAGGAATTTGCTTCTGTGATAAATGCAACTCTACGTCTCTGGGCTTTTCTGTATTCCTGTTTCTTTCACAGTTCCCCCCCCCCTGTTCTGTGTGTTTTGCTCCCTCTAGTGGTGAATTCGATATTACAGTGGTTTATGTCCAGCATAAAAACCTGCAGTTTAAATCTGCAGAGAGATATGCTGGAAATAAACCAATGTAATATCGAAACAGCCACTAGAGGGAGCAAAACACAGGAGCAACAAACACACATTCCCCGCCCCTCGGAAGAAACAGGAAATTACAAGGGAGGAAACCGTGACTGCAGGAAAGCCCTCTGTCTTTCCTTTCTTAAGTGTAGCTAGTTTCCCCCCAATTTGGTAATTGCTCCCAGGGAAACGTATCTTTTCCATTACCTGAAACATCCCAACAGAACCAGGGCCCCCAGCAGAGCCACCAGCGACAGAGAGTAGCCCACGGTGTACATCAGTCGGATTTGATCCAGAATCCACAAGTGGTTCTGGAAGAAAAGAGAAACGGAGGCCATCCGTCAAGAGGAATTTCTGTTGCAGGAAATAACGCACCTGTCGTAGGCTGAATACTTCCCACAGGGTAAAAATGCATCCATCTAGCATTGCGATATGATTTGGGACGAAGAAAAAGACTTTAAAGAGCCCGATCTCGTCAGATCTTGGAAGCTAAGCAGGGTGGACTCTGGCAAGTCCTTGGATGGGAGGCCTCCGTGGAATACCAGAGGCGGGAGGTGGGGGCAGGCTTTATTCAGCCACCTCTCTGAATATCCTCCAGGCCCCCAGTAGGGGTCAATCTCCAGCGGTCACCATGACTTCCAGGTGCACACGCACTCTCTCTCTCTCACACATGCACATATGAAAAATACAAAAAAAAAATACAGACAAAAATAAGGATTTGTTCTTATCTTATAGCATTTGCCAGTCTAAGCTGAGAGCTGACGTGACCTCTAGGGGGCAGGAAAATTGCCTACATAACGAAGATAAATCATCCAAGTCTGTTCTGAGACTGACGACATTTCCGTGATATACTAATAAGGCAGAAATAAAGCTATTAACCGAGTCAAGGCTTAAAAAAAAATTGCCTTCTGGTTGACAGCCATTTAAATAATCATGCCTGTGACTGGGACGAAGAAAATGACTCCCGAAAATGGTAACTTTTCCCCCACCATAGAGAACAATGGAGGGGATAGGGGCAACCTGTTTGAGGGCCCGTAGAATTGGACCCCCTGGTCCAATGTTCTTGAAACTTGGTTGGTATCTTGGGGAGAGGCTCCAGCAGCTAACCTGTGAGTTTGGAGCCTCTCCCTCAAACCCCCTCCCCTCCAGCCTCCAGAATATACCCTATATTTTCGCCATTGGCTTAAATGGCCCATAGGATATAATGGGGCTGAAACTGACATTCGGCTGTCCAAAAGACTCCTGAATGGGTTCCTACTGCCGAAATTGACATGCGGGAGTCTTTATGCCAGCCGAAATTGATTCTGCCCGATTCCGCCGAATCCAAATCGGGCCGAATTTTTTTTTTTTTGCAC